TAAACCTTACAAAGCCAAAAACACCCTAAACCCTAAACCCAACCCTAAACCCCTAAACCTTACAAAGCCAAAAACACCCTAAACCCTAAACCCAACCCTAAACCCCTAAACCTTACCTGTAACTCTCTTTACCTACGGTTTAGCAGCCATTACCCCCCAATTAATGGGTAGAACCCCTGAAACTGTAGGTAATTAGAGGCCCAGGTATACATCCAAAAATGAACAACCCTACATGTCTGTCAGGAAGGTCTTTATTGCCACGGCTATCAGGAAAGTTGCCTTGGAGTATCAGTAAGCCCACTTAAACCCTAAACCCTAAACCCCAAACCCTAAATCCTAAATCCTAAACCCAAAACCTTAAACCCTAAAGCCTAAATCGTAAACCCTAAACCCTAAACCCTAAATCCTAAACCCAAAACCTTAAACCCTAAACCCTAAATCGTTAACCCTAAACCTTTTTCTCAGGGGACTCGACTGCTGCCCTTACTGCCCAGCTTGACCCACAAGACAGTACTCATGACCTAAATCCTCAACCCTAAACCCTAAACCACACATCACCAGAGCCGACTCAAGGGGCCCTCAACCCCAGCGGACACGAAAGTGGAGACACCCCAAGCACTATCTAAAACCCCAATAACCCTGAAACACCCGAACCCGATAAAAAAACCCTAAACCTCATAAGCCCTAAAAACCCTCTACGAAACCCTAAAGCCCCCTGAATCTTAAACCCTCAAAAGCCCTGAGAACCAGGCTCGGGCTCGAAACATCGCAAACAAACTCCGAGTCAGCACGGTTTAGGATTTAGGGTTTAGGGTTTCAGGTTTAGGGGTTTAGGATTTAGGGTTTAGGGGTTTAGGGTTTAGGGTTTAAGGTTTAGTGTTTAGGGTTTAGGGTTTCGAATCCCGCAAAAAAAGGAATACTTACTTTCCCCAATAAGCCAGGGAAATAAAGGTCAAACTTTCAGATTACTACTAAATAATAAGAGCCCAAAAAGTTTGAAGGTTGAGTATTGGGGAACTAAGAATTGCAATAGTCATAGTAATGGTGCTGGTAATCGTAATTGTAGTGTTTACAACTGCTGGTACTAGTAGTTGTAAAAAGTAATCGTGATGGTGATAGTGCAAGGGATAGTAATAGTAATCGTAACAGTAGAAGAAAAATCATAAGAGTAATAGTAGCAGCAACAGTCATAGTACTGTCGTCGTCGTCGTCGTAGTAGTAGTAGTAGTAGGAGTAGTAGTAGTAGTAGTAGTAGGAGGAGTAGTAGTAGTAGTAGCAGTAGTAGTAAGAGTAGGATGAATAGTAGTAGTAATACTAAGAACGCCTCAAAAGGCGCCATGACCCAATGCTCCAGCAGCAACGCATGAGCTTGCCTCGCGCCACCATCTTAGGGCTTTCGGGTTTAAGGGTTTAGGGGCTGAGCTGTGTCATTACCTCACGGCTTCACTCTTCTTGCACTGACGCGCCAGAAAAGCCCCACAACGACCGTCAACAAATTCTCAACGTAACCATCACACGGCCAGAGGCCAGTCATGTCTACCTCCATGCTCCAGTCCCTAACCCTCGGACTGATACCTCAAGCCGTAAATCCTCAACCCCCATTTTCCTGAACGTTATATTTCAACTCTTAACCCTACGCCTGCTGAATCGAATCCTGAACCCTAACCCCACACATACCACTCTCAACCCCCAACGTGCCTTTGAAGACCCATACACAGATTGAACAATCACAATGAACAGCTTTGAATTATCAAGCCTCAGAAACCCCAGAACCAATTCCCCCGATAAGGCGTTGATTGTAATCATGCTTCGCTGCATGACTAGCCGCGAGATACTTGCCGCTATGGCTTACTGTTTTAGCATTGGTTTTAGTGCCGCAGTCCTCCATGCTGAGTCGGACTTCACGGCTTCCAGTTTCGAGCAGGACCCTTAGTAGTTCCTTTTTGGAATTACCTTATAGGATCCCAAATACAAACCACAAAAGGAACTGGTAACTACTTTGGAGCCTATGGGTAGAGTAGGACCCTGCACTACACCCCAATCCCGAACCCGTACATCCTTCCTGGAACACCCTCTGCTCGCCCCCCAAATGCACGGCACGCTCTTAGTTGTTCGGAGGGCTTCTACGGATTGGGGTCCTGTGGTTTAAGGCAGCTTAGGATCTTTGGGTTGAGGGTTCCGGGGTGGGGCCGGCTGGGGCGTTGGATTGAAGCCTGAACACTGATCCGTTGTATGCTCCATAATTACAGCCCTACGTCCTGAATCTGTGCCTGCACGAGGCAATTAAAGATTGAGTTAGAGGACGGGGGGGTTTCAAGCAATTTCGCATGGCTTGAAATTTGAAGAGAGCGGGGGGGCTTAGGGGGGCACAACCCCCCAAATTTGCAAACAAAAATGCTCATAGAAAGGCTGCTTGACGGAATGTCCATTGATGGCACGCCATTCTTTGAGGCAGGTTCGCACGGCTTAAAGGAGCAGGGCGGATGATTGACTTCTTGGAAAGGCTTCATGAAGGAAAGAAGAAATGTCCGTTGACGGCATGCTGTCCTTTCAAGCATATTCGCATGGCTATTCTCTAAAAAGAGCGGGGAGGGCTGGGGGGGCGCACCCCCCGCCCCCCGCATTTGCAAACAGAATGCTCGTAGAAAGGCTGCTTGAAGGAATGTCCATTGATGATGTGCCAGTCTTTGAAGCAGCTTCGCATGGCTTAAAATCTAAAACAGCGGTGGAGTTGGCGGGGGCGTAGCCCCGCCGATTTGCAAACAAAATGCTCATGGAAAGGCTGCTTGACGGAATGTCCATTGATTGCACGCCATGCTTTGAGGCAGGTTCGCACGGCTTAAAGGAGCGGGGCGGATGATTGGCTTCTTTTCTTGGACAGGCCTCATGCAGGAAAGAACTATCCATTGACGGCACGCTGTCCTTTCAAGCATATTCGCATAGTTTAGAATTAGAAAGAGCGGGCAGGGTTGGACGCAGCCCCCCCGTTTGCAAAAAGCATGATCGTATAAAGGCTGCTTGAAGGAATGTCCATAGATGGAGCGCCATTCTTTGAAGAAGGTTCGCATGGTTCAAAATTTTTATATGCACACAGGGTTTTATGTGTGAACAGCATGTTCTCTTTACAATGTTTGATTTGGCTTGTCTTGTTCTGAGTGGGGATGCCGGAGGACGGGACTGGAGTATATACATGTGGACGTACATATATATATATATTCTTTTTTCATTACACACAAATGTTTGCATATATATCTATATACACACCCATATTTGCATGTGTATATATATACACACATATACATATACACTTGTACATGCACATATACATCCTCATCATCAACATCCTCATCATCATCATCACCACCGATATCATCCTGAGACAACGCACGAAATGAAGCTCTGGGAATGAAGGTTTCGGCTTGACGCTTTCAGAGGATTTCTTTCTTTATGTTTACTGTCTGCAGAGGCTGCATGGGCCTGAGTAACTAGATTTTTAATAAGGCAAGTACATGTGTAGTTACTTAGGATCCTTACCTTAGTAAGGGACTAACTTCTCTGTGCTGAGTTGCTAGTTCTTTTTTCTTGCTTGATTCTTTTCTGTTCGTTCTTTCTTTGTTCATACATTCCTGTCGTTCTTTCCGTCTGTCTTTCTGTGTTCTTTCTCTTTGCGCTGAATTGCTGTCTCTTTCCGTCTTTCTTTATTTCTGTAGTTCTTTGTTTATGTTGTCTTTCTTTCGACTTGTTGCCTTTGCTTTTCTACTTGCTTACTTCGTGTTGTGCTCTTGTATTCTGTCTTTCCTACGTTACGTAGTTAATTCTTTCTGTCTTTCTTTGTCTCTGCCCTGAATTGCTGTCCTTCTTTCTGTGCTTCTGTTTGTGGTTCTTTGTGTATTCTTTTTCTTTCTTTGCTCCGTTCGTTGTTTACTTCTTGCTGTCCTCCTTTCTAGATTTGGCTTGGAGTAGTTTTTTGGATCCCTGGGACACGTGTCTATGCTTTGCCCTATCCCGGCCAATTAAAAGAGTGAAAAAACTATTTTCGGGAGGCATCAACAAAACTATTTTTAAACATCAACAAAAACAGTTTTGAAAAGATCAAGAAACACCATTCAAGGGAGGCAAAACAACCATTCCCCAATCTATAAGCAAAAATGGAGAGGAGGCCCAGAAAGGGGTTGGGAAAAAACGCAGAGCAAGACCCTAAACCCCTAAAACCCTAAACCCCTAAACCCCTAAACCTTTAAACCCCTAAACCCCTACACCCCTAAACCCTAAACCCCTAAACCCCTAAACCCCTAAACCCTAAGACGAGAACCCGGCTCCTCTGCGTAGTCTCTCCTCGTGGAGGTGCCCGGGCGGCCTCGGAAAAGAACTTCTCAACACGACTCCCTCCTCATAGAGTTTAGGGTTTAGGGGTTTAGGGGTTTAGGGTTTAGGGGTTTAGGGGTTTAGGGGTTTAGGGGTTAGCGTTCAGGGTTCAGGGCTCAGGGTTTAGGCAGTACCCTATTCTCCGAGAGGCCCTCCGCGGCTTTCCAAAGCCAGAAACAATCGCAGGGTCGTGAGTGTTCAGTTATGTACATCCAGGATTCATCCTGTTCGGCCAAGGGCTTCAGGCCACTGCAAGCAGCACGTGCAACGCACTGAATTTATCCAAGAAGTGGAGAAACATGAGGCACTGCAGCTGTAACACTGGCTCCTTTCGACATGTTCAAGGCTAGACCTGGAAACCTCTGTCGCCGACTGGTACCTCATGTCGCTACCCCGGAAAATCATAAGCGGATGCGCCGGGCACATCACTCTGGGCGCTCGGGGCCCAAGCCCGTGAAGCTTCTGAGCCATGCTGAGATTGCGCTTTAAAGACACTGAACCCTGAAGACCTACACGTAATGATGTCGGCTGGGTTTGCCACTTCAGCCAAAGCACATGCACGTGCGAAAAAAAAAAAAACGATAATCCCAAATCTGTCATGACTGCAAGCCACGGTTTGCAACCAGTTCGTACAGCTAGAGAACTGCAACGTAAAGCGGAAAACTGACTAGAGCCTGTGCTTCGTAAATCGGACCTGGTTCACGAATGTTCACGACAGCATTTGCAACACTACAGTCAGTCGAAAGTCTTAGTTGGAGCGAAGTAATCTCTGAGTGAAAAAGCTGCAAGGGCCTCATACCACAGACATCAAACGACACGAACCCAATAGTCTTAAAGACCCGAAGGAGGAACACTAGCTCAGAAGCTCTCCAACGGACAAATCATCCACCAGCTCCTTCGGAGCCGCACCAGCCGTCAGGAGTTTCAGCTGAACAACTGGCACTTGTAACCTGATGAGGATCTCAAGAGACGAATAGTTCGCAGGTTTGGGGTTTTATGGCTTATCTGTCTTCTGCATGACGACTATATCGACTATAAACGACGACGAGGACGACGCCGTGATGAGCATGCAGTCCCGAGGGCACAAGGTGGTTCAGGGCTCAGGGACTCTCTGCGCTCGGTCCTCAGACAACACGATGTGGGTTTAGGCTCCAAGGATGCTGGCTGCCTCTTCGGCTAGTCAGCCCATGATCGCTAAGAGCTTGAGCTCAACCAAGCAGCCCTGCAGCTGGGGTACGATTGGGCAGTCGCTGTTAAAGCAAAAGCAGACACTCGGCATTTCGGTGACAGAACAACACCCTGAAGCCAGGGAACCTTTCGGCCAAGAGCTCGCGCAGCTCTTTACAGCTTGCCGATTCGGTCATGGACAGGTCTGCCATATCGTTGCCTGGCAATCACAGCCCGGCATTCATGGTGGCTTGGGCTTTGTTTTCTCCCAGCATCGAAAGCCGGAACATGACTGGACGATTTCCTAACGAAAGAGCTCAGTCCCGCATGGAAGACAAGCTGGCCCATGACAGGGCCTGCCATGCTTATGCAGCTGATGCTCAGGGTACCAGGCTGTAGGCCTCGGTACTACAACAACGTGTAGAATTTGTTCGGACAACACGATGCGTACTGTCACCACATGGCTGTACTCCGTCAAACATGTTCAAGTGTTCACAGCACAAATATTCTGCTTGCGCTCGCAACGGCAGTCCAAGTCATAACATTTCCATCGCAACTTTCGTGCAAGTCCCAAGTGCTTCCAAGCCACAACTCGGTGTCGCACTGCAAGTAACTACAAGCCGCGGAAGGTCCTGCATGAACCTGATTTTCCAAAAATCCGTCGGAGCTTCAGGAGACCGGCCCTAGCTGTAATGGCCAACAGTGGGTGATATTTCAAGAACAAGCCCTGACAACCTGTCAAGATCTGAAAGTGCCCAACGGTCATATGCGCACGGAAGGAACAGGTCACCTCATGACCCTGCTGAACCATGCAAAAGCCCTTCAACCAGGTCGTACGCGACCTACCGAACACTCGATGGCATGCAGCGGGTCGTGCCTTTCCCAAACCTTGCCGGCAAGCTCTGACACCTGATGCACCTGGGTCCCAGGTGCGCTTGCAGACTTTAGCGTGTGTCGCCGAAGCAGATCAGCGACAGCGTCCGAACTCTGAACCTTTCTGGAAAATGCCGAAGATGTCCCCCTTCAGTGTTTTTGCCTTGCACAAACGAGAAACTCAAGACGTGCTGGTGCCGCAGTTCGAGGAGATCTTCGGAGCAGCGAAAGAAAACTCGAGAAGTGGGCACTGGCTTCAGGGGTACCGATGCAAAGTGCGAGATGCGACTATCGTCATAAACAGAACGACAAAGCACTCGTGATTACCATGCAAGTCGGCTGGCTCAACCGACACATTCGCGAAGCAAATCTCAACCCCCAGTAGCATTGCGACCAGGCACGTCATCCGTGCAGCGATCCTTTAGAGCCTGCACGGATGGAAGGGTTCATGGCCTTTAAATCTGAGAGTGAGGGCTATCTCGGGTGCCCCGATCCGACTTGCACTGTTCTCAATCGCCACCAGAGTCTCCCAACCTCCCAAGCCCTGACACTCTCCCGAGGCCTGGCTGTAGCGACTGAGCTGCAACGGCTCCAACCTGCCAAGTCAGGGCCCAGGCATGCGTTTCCAGGGAAGGAATTCCTTGCAGCGTTGCACTTGAGAACCCTTCAGGTTTAGCAAGCGGCAAATGCAGGGCATGCTCAAAACCCCGTGTCGGCCCTTGTACATAAGGGCCTCTGCTTTCGGTTTTGGCTCAGACACTTTCTTCTGCGGGCGGAGAAACTGCAGCTGCAATGCTTGAATATTGGCAAACGACCCACTGAAAACTGCTGCCCTGCTGAACCCGAATCGTTGCACTGCAAGCCTGGAAAGCGTACTGAGAGCAGCCAGTCGGACGTTCCAGTCCTCCCGACTCGGCCGCAAAGCACTCACTTCAAACACTCTCTCCCCAACCCCATACCAAACCAGAAACAGGGACGAAGGAGAGGTTTTGCAGAGGCAAAGTTGCTGGCAGCTTTTTTCGGGGCTTCGTCAAGGAGCCGGATCCTCGTCAGCAAGCAGACGAGACAAGACAGCCGCGTGCTTCTCCAAGACGTCCGGCTTCAGCCGTTTCAGGGTTCGGATCGCCTCCAGCAAGCAGGTCTACCAGTGGTTCCGCGTCTGTGATTTAGAGGCCGCGTCGCGAGTAGCTCGCACCCCGTGACCAATCGCTTTGCACGCGGACCCGAGACATGAATCTAGTCTCGGAGCACTTGTGAGCCTCGAAGCAAACGTCGTCATCGGTATCCTGCAGCCTGCCCGCGACCACGTCGGAGTGCAGTTCCAGGTCCTCAGCAGGTGCACATGCAGACGACTGCCAGAACAGGACACGCCTGGGTACAGAACACCCCGCCCCATCTGTCAGAAACACATCTGGGTCGCACGTCTCAACTTGCACCTGGATGCCATGATCCCGAACCTCCGAGCCCGTACCAGTCCTCCGGCTCCATGACAGCAAGAGCCTCTGCATGTCAAGGGGCTGAGAAGGCATTCGGTGAACTGTCCTTGACCTGTCGTTTTTATGAAATCACTTTCGTTTTCAGAGCATCTGAAGCTTCGAGTTTGCAGCACTGGCCGGTTGAACGTCACGGTACGGATGTTGAACTCAGCAAAAGCTCTCCAAAGTCCCTTGGTAGCACTCTCCATCGGAGGTTTCTGCCTCGTCCAAAGGCATCCTATTTCTTCCCTTCCGTTCTGTCTTCGGCGGGGCCTCCAGGGCGAGCTTTCGCATCCAAGGATACCGGCTCTGGCAGAAGCCTGCACAAGTACTGAGTCGAACTCTGGTCTCTGATCGTGTCAAGTGTCCATGCGAGAATTTGCGAGAATGCCGGGAGCTCATGGCAACTCTGTGAAGACATGAGCAATGATAAACCTAATGCAGATGACGCAGTCTTTTTTGGACAACATTTCCCTGAGGGAAAGGTCTGTCTCTTTCGAGTCTACCTCGCAGGCACCCAAGTTCGGGCCGATCCTGTACACTATGCGACACCTCCATTCGCTGCTGGCATTCCTCCCGCTGAATTGAGATGCAAATGACGGCTTCCCAGCGACTGAAGAGACATCTTTGAGGCTTCGGGGTGCTTGCTCATGTAGCCATCGCAGCTGTGTGAGCGCAAGCATGTCTTTAGGTTGGCACCCTGTACAGTCTTGAAAGGCGAGCATCTGCAAAGCCACCTCTCAGGGCCCTAAGGGGTCAGCTCAGCCTGGCGTGGCTCCGACTGCAGGTTCAGAAGAAGTGCGAGCGGAGAGGAGCGCCTGCTCGCGCCGTTTCCACGGCTGGCAGGAGCAGTAAAGCTTTCCGGGGATGCCAGCACGACCTGATCCTGCGACTCCTCCGCGTGCTGATTACGCCACTGGCAAGGTTTTGTGATGTGCTTCCCGCCGGCCATGCTTGATGCCCTCGGCAATGCGAACCTTCATAGCTGCAGGTGACAGCTCCTTGGGCAGCCGGACTTCAGTCTTCAGGCCAGGCAGGGTATGCAGCCACTCCGAGGGGTAAGAAGCTGAAGATCTTAGCAAGCGAGCCATCAAGCAAGCCGTTGAACATTTGCTGTGCCATCTGCAGCATTGGCCTCAGGGTCAAGATCTTTGGGATTTCTGGATGCTTGCTGGTCGCGGCTGTGAGGCTCGAGTCGAAGCGCTCCCCACCGAAGCTTAGACGGATCACAGCACGCAACATTCTCTCTAAGCACTTGACGTCACAATGCGGACCTTGCCTGGAAGTCTTAATAATTAGCTGTGCTTTTTTTCAAAGGCCCCTAAAAGTGCAAAAACGGAAGAAGCAGAGGGCATCGGACCAATTCTGATCATCTGATCCCCCTTTCCCTTTTTCAGAGGGTCCGGAGCCTCCACCCAACCACGCGGATGCAGCGCCAGCCAGCGAGGCTCCCCTTCGCGGGGCTGCTGCGCGATTTGACGGAAGATGGCTCCTCGAAGGCTGAAGGGAGACAGCTTCGAAGAGCTCAGAACTCCTAGGTCTTCGTTGCTGCAAGGCAGGAGTCTGGCAGGAGCCCTTGTGGCAGAAATGGATGCCCTCTTGGGGGGTCTGGAAGCAATTCACTGCAGTGCTCCTGGCTCCAGCGTGCGAAGACACTCCTGAAAGCCGCCAACCTGCGGACGCTGCCAGACCCGGACAGGCCTCGGTGAACGCGACATAGTGTTCACTCTGAGGGTTTAGGGCTCTGGGTTGAATTTCCTGGGATGAGGGGTCAGCTTTTGAGATGCGTGCCCTTCGAACCGAGTTTCTGCCTCTAGCTCCCACACGAGCAACGCGTAGCTCGGAGCCTACTGGGTCTCTTCTGCTTTCGCACGATCGACACATCCAAACTTATGCAACAGCAACCCTGGTTAAGTACATTTGCACAGGACACTGGCCAAACCCCGAACACCAAACTCCGAATGCGAAGTCGAGGAATGAATGCAACAACGCGGCACTACTGCCTTCCACTTCAGGTTGCTGGTCGGAGGCGCGATGATCTCCTTGCCCAGTTGAATGACCTGTGCGTGAGGCTGTTCAGGATGCTTGGGGGGCCTTACATTCGAGGCTCTTGAGCGCGCCGTGGCTTCTCCCCAACGCCTCGCCAGCCCGGACCACCAACTTGCAGGGGAGTATAGGGGGGTTAAACCTCAACATCTCAAGCCCTCAGCAGTTGACCCCGGCCCTGCAGCCTCCAGCTCTCCACGAGGGCGCTTTGCTGCAGGCTCGCTACCTGCAGGTGCCTGAAAGCTCTCAGACTTGGGTTTCAGGTTGAGCCTCAATTGAGGCTTAGGATGGCTGTGGCTTAGGGCCAGGATTCTGGCTTCTTGTTGGCCGCAGTCTTACGGCTGTGCGCTGAAGGTTTCTCTTCGGCGGGACTTCCAACTCGCGGCCTCCTCAACACCACGCTTTTCGCCCTGTGATCGAGCTTCTTGGGCCTGTTGACTGCCAGGCCCAAGCGATGCCGGTGCTGCCTTTCCCGCAGTGACAGTCTGAGACGAGCCAGACGGCGAGCTCGATAATGCTTGTCGCTCTTGCGCAGGATGCGAAGCTGCCGCAGCAGGAAGATTCCACGTCGGATCTTTGCGAGAAGGCTCTGCAGTTCCTGGTGCAGCACCATCGAGAGGTGTAAAGTGCCTTGCGACTGCATCGGGGTGGGCAGCAAGCCTGGTACACATAGTGTCATATTAGCTGTATGTAAAATTGATGTCAACCTGCTGCCAGGCATCCCAAACCGGTCAAAGTAATAGGGGATGTGGAGCTGCCGCTTGTTCTCCCTTGGCTGCGAAATTTGCTGCAGACTTCACTCTTCGAGTTCACCCCACCCTTTCATTGCAGGGTCTGTGATATCAAAATTGCGCAGCTGTCTTCCTTAAATGCGAGAGTGTGGCCCGTACCACCTCGCCACTTCCGGCCGGCCCTTCATCCGCGCGCCCCATTCGCGGTAGTTATCGTTGTCGACCTCGCTGTGCTCAGGTCTGGCATGCCCTCTGATGAACAAAACCAAAGATCGAATCGAAAACACCCTTGAGCATCTTGAGCACCGGGCATAGGAGCACTTCCACTTGTAAGCCTCCAAGATCGTCGAGTAATCATCGATGTCTGGAAGCCCATCTCGCGATGGGATGACCACCAGTGCGGACTCCAACCTCGAAGGCTTGAGGGTGTGTGCTCAGGGTAGGGTAACAAGCCGATTGGCAAACGGCAACAAACGCTTGTCTGCGTGGAGTCGGAAAGACTGGCTCTAGCGCTGGAACAGGGGCTCGCACACAAGCACTGGCGCCCTGGATTCGCGAACCCGGGACTTGCGCACTGCTGCGACGGATACACGCACGGACGATGCGCGCTCTGGCGCGAAGGATCGGAAATTCGCGCTGCGATTCTGGCACAGTGGATTCACGTACTGACCGCGTGCACCGACACGATTCACGCAGGTCCCCCGCAGGATTCGCCGGATTCAGACAAAGTGGAGGCGCGAAGGGCGTGGCCACGCACACCGAGAAACCCGCCAGCGCGACTTTCAGCCGGTTGGCAGTCCTGCTGAACGGAACTACGGCAGGTCCAGGAAGAGTTTAGGCCCAGGACCAACAGGTTTGACAGGAGTCTCTGGGGCCGAATGAACATCATAGTGCAACGACCCCAATACAGCTGAGATTCCCATCCACGCACCAAAGCCTAAACCCTAAAGCCGCAAACCCTAAAGTCCGACAAGACTACATCCTTCAATCCTAAATTCCGAGACCCGGCACCCGAAACCCGAAATATGCAACCCCGAAGACCAAACCCTGCACCTTAAAAGTCGAGTGCTTTCGTGCGTTGGTGCTTGAATCGCATGTGAGTGGATCGCGCGTGGTGCACGACTCGCTGGCCTGCATGAATCGCTGGAACTCGGGGTGAGTGCTTGAATCGCAGTGCTCAAATCGCGGCTTCTACGAGGACAGACTGTGTCCCAGCGGCTTCCGCGAGATCTTGTCGCGCCCACCCACCTGCAGGAGGCAAGAGGGATAAGTTACACCTCTAGCTTTCGTCGAAGGCGCCTGGCTCAGCAGTCGCTGACCGATGATGGCGTGGACTGTGAAGCCTGCACCTTTACAAGGGAGTGATCCTACATGCAAGTTCTGTCGACTCCTGACACACATCACCCCTGCCTTCATAGTACTGGCAGGCATCCTCGACACCCTTCCAGTCAAACTTGCTCTGACCAGGCTTCGTACGCTTCAGGATGTTCTCTCCGTAGGTGCAACCAATGTTGGCGCAGTTGAGAACAATGTGCTTCATGCCATTGGATGCGCCACTTCCTCAGTTCCCTAATCCTAGCCTAGGGCTCCAAGCAGCTTTCATGCCAGGCCTTACCGGCAAGAGCCACCGAACCAAACTCCGAACAGGCTCCGACCGAAGCCAAATCCACACAGGTGTCCGGCAGCACTTCCGCTTCTCCTTCCTTGCAGCTGCGTCTCGCTGTGGTGTGGCCGTTCCGGCAATGTCCGATTTCACTCCCGAGAGTCGTTCTGCATGTCTCCTGACATCACTGTGACATCACAATATTCCGAACCCTGAAGCACTTTTACGTACTACCGTTTCGTCATGTCTACTGTTGGTTCGGACTAAGACCATGAAGTCCCAAAACATTTGCTGCCCATCCTGTAGGTCTGTACCAGCAAATATACTATGCTTGATGAGCGATGGTCATAGTCGTCATTGCTATCCTACTACCAGTCATAAGACCAAACACAGCATCAGCGGCTAGCAGCAACAGTGGTGGTAGTGGTAGTGGTAGTG